GGAAACGATTCACCCGGAACGAAGCCGATGCCTGGAACAGCACCTCGCGCCAAGGCATCTCCTCAGGCACCGACGTGACTCACGCTGCGCCGCAGCAGCATACAAAAAAAGTTTTACAAGGAGTGGGGCTGGTGCCCATGGAGTTGCTGTCCGTGAGCAGGGCGGTGTGAATCAGCAGCTGAGCAAGGATACTCATCCAAGGAGGGAAGAAAAACCAGTGGAAAGCTCTGGTACCTGGATATCTCATAGAGGGCATGCACAGGAGATTGCTCTAACAAATAAATATGTTGTTGTAAGATGGGCAAACGCAAACTCATCAAGCGCGACTGCTCCTTTTGATTTTCCTAAGGACCCGTTTCTTCGAGGCAGCAAATACAATAAAAATTTGAGCCAAGTTTAAGTGTAAGTTTATTTCTAATAGAACTGTTGAGTGTTAATTCTTCAATAAAAGAGTTTTATCATGTTTATTAAAAACACCTCATGCTGGCAGATCACACCCAATAATAAAAGCACGTGCGAAAAATTAAATACAATGATGTTTGTGTCAAAAAGGTTCAAGTCTGAGCTGTAGATCAGTGTGAAGTGCCCGCCAGAAGCTGGAAGCTGCTTCTCAACACGAGACCTCCCCGTGGGTGCTCGCAGCGAGCGCTGCTGAGCACGGCACTGTCAAGAAGCAAGTTTACTGAACTATTTAACGTGTTTTCTTGCGTGCGTGTTTTTACGTGATCCTGCTGCTCCCTCGGTTGCTATCTCAGCTGCCCCAGCCCCGCTCCCGCTCCCTGCAAGATAAACCCCTAACCAGTGAATTAAAACCTAGACAAAGATTACAGGCAATTAAAAGCATCTCACTGCAAATCGTTCAGATGGGAAACCTCTTAAAAGAGGTCGGCGTGGTGGTAGGAGAAATAAGATTTTGGAGGTACCGTTGGGTCCTGCCCTCACAGGCAGCAGAGGCAGTGGCTGGTGAGGGGCTGGGCTAGTAAGGAAAAATTTAAGGCAGCGTTTCAGGTGATGAAAGAGTACGAAAACATGAACTGCGGGGGCCAGGATGGTGCAGGACCCCTGGCTTTTGCCCCCTCGCAGCCCCACAGAGGGAAGCACATCCCTCACCTCCTCCAAGTCCTGCAAATGGAAGCAGACCTGACCCCAGCCCTGAGACCTGAGCTCGAGTCCCTCCAGAGGGATTTTTTTCCTGTCTCA